GAGGTATTATATACATTGATTACCTTGCAAAGGGTAATACTATCACTGGTCAATACTACGCAGACTTATTGCAACGTTTGAGCCACGAGGTGAAAATTAAACGACCTCATCTGGCGAAGAAAAAAATCTTGTTTCATCACGATAACGCACCAGCGCACACGTCAATCGTTGCGACGGCTAAAATCAACGATCTAAAGTTTGAATTGATGCCGCACCCTCCTTACTCTCCAGACCTAGCCCCGAGTGACTATTTTCTGTTCCCTAATCTCAAAAAATGGCTTGGCGGTAAGAGATTTGCGGACAATGAAGAAGTAATCGAAGCTGTAAATGGTTATTTTGAGGAGCTTGACGAATCAGTCTATAGAGATGGCATTAATAGACTGGAACACCGCTATGAGAAATGTATCAGCCTTGGAGGAGATTATGTTGAGAAATAAAAAAAAAAAATTTTTAAAAACCTTGTTTTTCTTGGTCAGGCCGGAAACTTATCAATCCACCCTCGTATATGGCATGATACAACGCCAATTATAACACCCTTGAGAAAATCGATACTTACTGAACGATACTTATCGTTAGTATTGGCACCGAGCTTTTTTGACTCGATGATATCAATTTTAGAGCGGTAGAACACGCTAACCCTGAGTGATGGTAAGAGTCGAGAAACACCTCTCTCACTTTGCTTTGATTTTTAACAAAATTATTTATTTAGGGAATTAAAAAGTGTTTCCTCGGTTGTTTTGTTATCATTTCCCGAATGTACGTTTAAAATGCAGAATTTCCAAAAAATTTCCATCTGAGTAATTACTAGAGATGTACCGGATAGTGATTTTGCCGCATACCGGATAACCAGGTACCCGGCAAAACCAAAACTATTATGGTTAATGGTTCATGTCTTCGTTTTGACAGGTTTTCCATTAAACACCACCCTCAACAATGTCCCACACCGTTATGTTCAAGAAGTCGTTTAAACACTAAACCAATCAAATTTTGATTCTCGGTTGGCGGATTTTCAACGAAAGGGTTGAACCTGTCCCAATACAATTACTAATTTTCATTAGGTAAATTTTTTAAAAAAAAGTGCCGGATCTAAACCGGGTGCCCGGTCCATCTCTAGTAATAGCCGGGAATTTCTCAAGTGGGCACTGATACCTACCTAAAAAAAAAAAACTTTTGGGTGTTTCATTCCCACCAGCCAGTAATGCTGGTGGGCGGGCAGTCCCTCCGGACTATGCCGGAAGGTATGGCGGAAGACCCTCTTCAGCCTGCTTTGAGGAATCGTGGGAATGGGTGGGTGGTGGTTCGGGTGAGAAAGTTGAGACGGCCGAAATGAAGACAGAAGAGAATGAAAGATTATCTGTGGAATATTACTGCCTCAGCATTTTCCTAAGTGATCCAAGGAAACCACAGAAAAACTTGGACCAAGGCAGTCGGACCCGGAATCGAACCGGCGTCCTCCCGAATGTTAAGCAATGGTCTAGACCTCTAGGCCATGCCGCTCGGTACTGATACCTATAGTACCATACCCTTCCGCCGACCCTGGTTAAAAGTTGACACTAGTCCTTTTATAAGGAATTTATTTAGGTACTGCACTTGATTTACCGCTTACAAAATAAAATGATTTATTATTTACTACATGATAGAGTATTGATTATCAGTAATATTTTACAATAACAATCACTGTATTCACATTTGATTCATACGGAATTTCGATTGATATTAAAAAATTAAATACTGAAAATTTTAGTCAAATATGTATTATTGGACTGAAGATTGAAGTAGTTGGTTCGTACGAATTGTGTTATGTACGAGCCTACTAAATTTTTCTACCCATTCAAAATTTGAATGAACCACCCCTATCCTAACCCTACATACTTTATGAATGACCCCTTACTTTAAAAAAGGCTAGAACATCTTTAAAATACGGTAATCGTGAGCACATAATAAAGTTAGTATGTATACGAGGGTGGATTGATAAGTTTCCGGCCTGACCAAGAAAAACAAGGTTTTTAAAAATTTTTTTTTTTTATTTCTCAACATAATCTCCTCCAAGGCTGATACATTTCTCATAGCGGTGTTCCAGTCTATTAATGCCATCTCTATAGACTGATTCGTCAAGCTCCTCAAAATAACCATTTACAGCTTCGATTACTTCTTCATTGTCCGCAAATCTCTTACCGCCAAGCCATTTTTTGAGATTAGGGAACAGAAAATAGTCACTCGGGGCTAGGTCTGGAGAGTAAGGAGGGTGCGGCATCAATTCAAACTTTAGATCGTTGATTTTAGCCGTCGCAACGATTGACGTGTGCGCTGGTGCGTTATCGTGATGAAACAAGATTTTTTTCTTCGCCAGATGAGGTCGTTTAATTTTCACCTCGTGGCTCAAACGTTGCAATAAGTCTGCGTAGTATTGACCAGTGATAGTATTACCCTTTGCAAGGTAATCAATGTATATAATACCTCTTGCATCCCAAAAAACAGTAGCCATAACCTTGTTCGCCGAAAAAATTGTTTTTGCCTTCTTTGGAGTTGGTTCCCCTGGTCCAATCCACTGTTTAGACTGTTCTTTGGTTTCAGGAGTGTAGTGGTGGACCCACGTTTCGTCAACGGTTACGAATCGACGCAAAAATTCGCTTGGATTACGCTTATACAATGACAAATTTGCGGTAGAAATGTTTTTTCGAATCAATTTTTGGTCGACTGTTAGCAAACGCGGCACCCATCTTGCACAGAGCTTTTCCATATGCAAATGTTGGTGCAAAATATGTTGCACACGTTCATATGACATCTTACAGGTCTCAGCTATCTCACGCACTTTCAATCTGCGGTCTCCCAGCACTATTTGATGAATTTTTTCGATCATATCTGGAGTTGTGACCTCAACGGGGCGTCCTGAGCGAGGCCCATCAGAGGTGCTCACACGACCCTTTTTAAACTCGGAAACCCACTGCTTAACGGTTGAATATGACGGGGAGGATGTCCCCAGTGTTGAGTCCATCTCTTTTTTAATTTCCTTCGGCGTTAACCCCTTCAAATAAAAGTATTTGATGACAGCCTTGGAGGAGATTATGTTGAGAAATAAAAAAAAAAAATTTTTAAAAACCTTGTTTTTCTTGGTCAGGCCGGAAACTTATCAATCCACCCTCGTATAAAGAAGAGCGTCTCAGGAAGTGTTCCAAATTTAGTAGCAAGTTCGAAGAATTAAAAAGAAAAACAGAAAGATACTAAAAATTGGTACTGCTAATCGCTTCTGTCGCGCAATAAACGCGCTAAATAATTTGGTAGCGGAGCTTTTAGCACAGTTTCTCCGCTTCGTCATATCGTAATTCAAACATTTTATATCGTTATTAAGGAGCGAAGCTATAGGCGGGGAATTTACATCAAAGCCGCGTGTCCTCTTGTTCTTTCTTTGAAGGCGCGGAAAGATGTACCACGTCGACCCCCATAAATGTCAGTTATTTTGGCCAACGATCGCTTTGCCAATTTGTTGGCGTAATATCATCGGTGGATGAAGTCAAAATAGCAGTTTGTAATAACACGACGATTCGGAAGAGTGATGATAAAAAAAAAAACACTTTACAGATCTGAAGCTTTGAACGTAACGCTCATTCATTAAAATATGAAGAACTATTAAAACATTTACGATACTGAGTCAATTATCCGCGAAATAGACGGATAACTTAGGATTACAGGATTGTCGGTTAAACATAAAAGTATCATGAACTCTATAAAACTTTAAAACCTCTGCGCTGGTAATAAAGTGTATTAATTCTAACCATATCAGGTAAAAATTGTTCATAGAGTTACCAATTTTCAATAAGAATAATAGATTGATTGAGTTAGCTGAATTTCAGCCGAAATTCTGTTGGCGCAAAAAAATTTTTTTGGTAAGAAAATTAGCACACAAATGTCAAAGAAGGTACCAAAAAAATGGCTAAAATGACCAAAACGGGGATTTCGCGTCGAGAAACGGAGAATTTTTATTGGAACGAAATTCCTTATGGGACGTTGTGGAGACAGGGGTTAGCCGAAAAAAAACTGTATGTTACAATAAAGCGTTAAACTCTATCTCTCTTCCTCTGCATTTACTGCCTGCAGAGACAGACAGAAAGAAAGTAATCTATCTACTGGCACAGCTCAGTTTTTATTAAATAAATTGAAAACAACACATCGGAGATAGAGCTATGGTGCGCTTGATTTTTTGAAGAGTTTTATGAGGAAAATAATGAGACCAGCATGGATTTTTTTCAATCAATAGTTTACAAGTTATTTAATTTTTAATGATAAGAGCTGTGCGATTTAACAAACTGTAACATGAAATGAACTTGAACCTTATAAGGTAGGTAATATTTATACACAAAAAATTTATACATAAATTATTTTTTTTTTTAAATACCTCGACTAAAATTTATAAATAAAATATTTGTGGAATAGCATAAAGAAATTCGTTCCTATGGGGTGTCCCACGACACTACACAGCTTGTTTTTAAATCTACCTCTGTAGATGTATGCGCAACAAAAGTACGCAAAACATACCTATCATTTTTGCAATAACCTTTATACCTTTGACCGTTGTATGAGATTACGCCTTTTCACAATTGTCAACGTATCAAAGTATCGATCGATTTGAATAAATCATATTGTTTAAACCAGGATTGTTACATGAATAATTCTGATAACGATTGTTTTGATCCGCAGGTGTACCATCAGATCATCGTAATATCATTTAAAATTACCCAAGAAACTTTCAAATAAATGCGTTATCCACTGGCTGAATTTCTAACAGCACAAAACGGAAAAAAGCAATCCCAAACATCATTAGAGGCATACTTTTAGAGAGATCGCAAGAACAACTACTAGAAAAAATGAGACAATTCTCGAAGATTTAACATAGACTTAAGTAGACATGTACATTGCCGTAATCGATTGCGAATGTCCATTAAATATTGAGAAGAATTATAATCTTCGAAAAATCTCCCTATTCAAAAAAAAAACCGACCTACCTGACGCACCTGTTTGAACTGTTCCTCAAACGACCACGTCTGCTGTGACGACGCGCTGCCATCCGAAGAATGTGGACTTCCTGAAGATGGTGCCTGAGGAGGTTGCGTTGTCATTGGTGGTAGGAACGCTGCCACTGGATGCGGAAACGGAAATGAAACTGGAAGCTGAAAACCGTCCGGCATTGTCATGTTCCGATGTGTCGAGATTGTTAGGTGCCTGTTTAAGTCGTAGTCCTCCTTAAAAAAAAAACAAAAACAAAAATACTAACAACATTATGGGTAGATAAGGGTAAAAAGGTTTGGTGTAAATTCTATCCGAAAAAGCACGCTAATTTTGTTTTGTTAGTAACGAACTGGACGTGACTCTTTGTCATTAATTTTAAATAATTTATACAGAAAGTTGCTGCATAATATACAACAAACGCATGGTATTTTTTCAAATATCTACCTGATTTATTTGAACTATAAAATTTTTTACAAGCGGAATTTTTTAGCCGATGATAAAACGCAAGATATTTTCCATTGATCATTTATTATTCAAAAAACACAATTTGTAGTATTGGTAAAATATACAAGGCAAAAAATACATATTAATCACAAATAAATTACACCTGTTCAATTGATTGGACGTTGATACTGTGACAATTCCTGTCAATGAGTTTTTATAGCAGACAACATAACAATTCTAGCAATGAAATTAAAGGACAACACGTTTGATGAGATAATAAGGGCATTAATTTTATATCGAACGCTAATGTAATTTTTAACTCGGTAAATAGAAAATAATTACTGAATAACGCCAGCCACGGCGCCACCTGAGACATGAAGCAATTAGTGTTGTATTGCTAATAATCGTGTTTAACAATAACTAAAAAGCATAACCCATAACAAAATCGTTCAATCAATCGATTTAATTGGTTATTGATCGAAATCTTGTATTCATTAGTTTGAAAAAAAAAAATAAAATAAATTGATTTAAACCTATTACTGCTATACATAGTTAGAAGCTCTAAATAAATTCAACATTATTACTACTTACCTTTAATTTATAGTTACCCAAATAAATTTCGCACATTTTCCAAATTCAATTTTCAAATAGACTAATTGGGGAACAATGTTTATTTCAATAAAAACAGGTAGTGATTTAGCAGAGATACATTAACGTCATTATACTGGGTAGTATAAAAAAGTGCTTACAATTAGGCGAGCGGAAGACCCCAAAAAGTGACCAGCACGTTCCAGAGTTTTTTTAATTGATTCTTAATGCTTTTGGTACGCTGATTCCGAATTTTAACATTTTTTGCCTAAATTGTCATTTTGTTTAATGTTCTCCTCATACACATGTTCGGACTCAACGCATCCAAAAACAAAAAAATTAAGAGAAATTGTCTCCTAGAACGAGATTGGTCACGAACCTTAGAAATCAGGGGGTGCCTCCCCACTCGGCTATATAATTTCACGTTTGAAATGCTTAAAAATGTCAATAGTATCTGAAACATATCGAGTCCCTACTCTCTTTTTTTTCCAAGATCTACTAGCTCTGATTAAGAGTTTTTGTATGGATAAAAAGGGTGAGCGCGCACCATAAGTTTGGCCGCACGGTGAAAAATTGCTTCTGTATAACGCCCCGTCCAGCGTTGACAACTAACCAATCTTACAACACAAGTTTAGAGAGTAAATAAATGGGATGAAATTTTTAGGGTTTTTATATTCTTAGATGTATTTGTAAGGACTTTTTGATTTTTGAGATCCTCGTTACTTAGAATTCGTGTTTCTCTGTGAAATTGCTGCCAGCAAGACCAATTGTAATCGCTAATATACAAATAAAATAAACTCGAAGAACGAGCGTTCAATAGAATTGAAACATAATACTGAACAATGAATACTGTTCAAATTTATGATTTCAAAATGATATTTGTAATGTTAAATAATTTTCACTACTTTAAGTAAAGGAAGGGTTTTTAAGAAATAAATTTCTAACCAAAATATTGTCCTTATTTTCTTTGGGGTTTTTGTAAGTAATGGTGGAGATTTTAGGGATTTTGACTTTCTTTAGGGGTAAAATTTTTTGACGGTTGACAATACTGGTCACTCTGCCTATTGTAACATAAGAGAGCTTTCAATAATTGAGAACCGTCTCGACGGTTGATCGGCTTTTTTGCAACACTGCGGCAGCATTTCACCGAATAAATAATTATTATATTTATTAATATATTTTTGGAGTAACGACGACTACATTGAACGTTGAATCTGATAATCTGGATGAATATTTTAATATTGAAATACCTATTAATGCACTTGAGAAGAGATCACTCATGACGTAACATTAAGTAGAGTATTTGTATATGTAACAGAAAGTTCAACTAGTTTTAAAAGTTAATAAAACATTCTTTAGTCACTATACAATATGGAAAGAAGTTTTTAGGAAAATTTCTAAGATCTCCAAATATTTTACAGAATTGTTCTTTGTTTAAATGTACAATAAGTGGATGCATCCAAAGCTTCTCTTGTTTTTATTGACCCAAATTATAAATACAAGCTACTTCTACCAACAAATTCATTTTAACACTGATTACTTAGTTTTTTTTTATAATTTTTTCTGCAGATATTGAGAGTTAACTCCTAGACCAAGAGCTCCCAAAAGTTCCCCATGGGGAATAACTATAAGGTACTAAGAGACGCAGGGAACAATAAATATGTACTCTTCAATAGATAATTTTAAAATTCATTTTGTTAAGATTATAAGTTACCTTGCCGGTAATAATCAAAATCAACGCACCAATAACGTTCTTATTATGATAATTTATTTGTGATATTTACGTTTTCGAACCCCAATAAAAACCAAATAAAATTTTTGCATAAAAAAATGGGTAAATGTCTAGGTGATGGCCCCCACCCCCGAAGGTGGGGGTGGGTGGGATCGAAAGAGGAGGTCTCGCCCAACACTGTACCATAAAAAGTTATGGGGGTTAGATGGGGGTGCAGGGATCGAAAGAGGGTAAGGGGGATCGGAAGAGGGTGGTCACCTGAGTAAAACCCCATAAAAAATTTGCGGCGGTCTCACCCCCATAAATAGTTATGGGGGTTGAAAGTTGATTATTTTGACAATTTTCATACACTATAATTCAAATAAAATTCAATAAAATAATTATTTTCAAGCGGGTGGAGGTGGGGGATCGAAAGAGGGTGGTCACTTGAACAAAACCCGATAACCTAACCTAACCTACCCTATTGATAAAGAATTTAAATAATGTTTTATATAACTTTCTCAATATTTTTATGTATTTTTCATTAGTTTTACCTTTGAATATTGTTTAAGAATGACCATATAAATATTTACATGCCTAGAAATGTATAAAAATTGACATATTTATTAACTTTGAACCCCTATAACTTTTTATGGGGGTGAGACCGCCACGAACTTTTTTGGTACAGTGGTAGGGAAGACCTTCTCCTTCGACCCCACCATCTCCACCATCTAGACCTTTACCAAAAAATGTAAAGCAGGCATGATCTGACTCACCTGAACTTTGATGTCTCGGACCTGCATTTTGAGTTTGGCAAGTACATCACTATGATCGGCAAGAATGTTATTTGTATGTCGTCTGACTTCGTCGCAACTGTCGGCATCTTCGTTTTCACGTGTCGAATCAACTTCTCCTTCGCTAATGTCTTCATCGTGTTGCGACTAGAACAAAACAAATCTATTATAAATAACGCATATCGATAACATTTCTCGTATAGGTATCATCAAGTAAACCCTACCTAAGCCAACAATTGCAAAGCGTTTTTCTACACGACGCCGTCCGAAAGAATTGCACAACGAATATAATATCTATACTGTACTAATTGCATAAGACAAGAGAACTGCTTGTGTAATCCTGTCGTGACTGATGTCCGAATTCGAACGATCGTTTTTGCCCAGGCGAACTGTTCCGATTCGTTAAGGCAAGCAAAATGCTATAACCTCGTCGTCGATAATATATAACACAACATTTTGTATTTTCCAAAATTACTGGCGTGAAATACAGATCCAATTTGTATTTTAACATTTCATACTTTATCTATACTATTTATAAAACAGTTTCGGGACTAACTGCTAGCTAACACACAGCTTAGTAAATCAATAGAATAATGTTGTTTGATGGGGGGCGGGGGTTTAAAACATGATAAACTAAAATATTTTCATACTCAAAAAAAATTTTTTTTTGTTTTTTCCAGGTAAGCTCAAAAAAGGTGGAATTTGCAGAATGTATTCCTTAGTGTAAAAGTGTACTAAGAAAAAATTTCTCGAAAATTAACCCCTCGGGGTATCAACATTAAACATACTCTTTAATAAAAATAAATAACAATATGTGTAGATTTCTCGGAATTCAAAAAAGAAATTTCGTTCTAAGGTATTAACCTGCACCTTTCTTAAACAATTACAATAAAATTAAAAAACAACGTAAACGCATTTGTAAGAGGCACAATTTTTTAAACAGCAATGAATAGGAGAACAGAGGACTCTATGAAAGTCAATAAAAAATTAAAGAGAGAGGTAGGTAAGACACCGTATCTGGCATGAAGGGCTGGTTAGAGAAATATTAAAGGCAGAAACAGGAGTTAAAAGGGTTGGTTAGAGATAGACCTAGATTAGATTACTGTTAATGCAAATAGTTAAGAATGTGGGATGTTCTAGTTTTAAGGAAATGCGAACATTAGATCAGGATAGTAAAAGTGGAGATGAGTGAAAACGCAGAACGGATGATAAAAAAATCCTTAAAATTTCAGCCTGTCCAATTTTCGAAATTAACCCGAATGGAAATATCACATGTAAAATTTTTCGTTGTTTCATTCCCGCTGGCCAATGTTGGTGGACGGGCAGTCCCTTCGACCTACAGCGGTACAAAATCGGAGGGTAAGGCGAAAGGCCCTCTTCAGTCTCCTTACAGGGGTAGTAGAAATGCATGAAAAATAACTTAAAGATGAGATGGACGAAATGGAGGCAGAATATAGTAAAGTGACCCACGAAAACCATAGAAAAACTTGGACTGGACAGAGATTCGGAATCGAACCCGTATCCTCCCGCTTAACATTTGCGAGACGATGACGATGATTAGATTCGATTAGAATTGCGAAGACTATCTCAGGATAGAAAGGAGTCCAGTCAGTCGTCGGATGACCGTGTGATAATGGTGAGGGAAAAATTTATAAAGTAATGTACAGAAGACTTTATTCATATCAAGCATTTCAAGGATATGAATCTGAGTCCATGCCAAATATGTCCGTTAGGAATTTATATGTTGTTTTTTCATTTTCTTTCCTATCCTCAGCTAAACTTCGCATTTCCCCAAAACTAGAACATTCCAAATACTTAACTATTTGCGAACAGTAATCTAGTCTTGGTCTACCTCTACTCCTCTTAACTCCTGTTTTCGCCTCTAATATGTCTCCAACTAGCCCTTCACAGTTGAGAAGGTGTCCTATCAATCCCGCGTATTTCTTACTGACTTCCATAGAATCCTCTGTTCTCCTACTCTTTCTAATGCCTCTTTATTTCTAACCTTCTTATCCACGTTATCCTTATCATTCGTCTGTGACACCACACTTCTTTTTATTGAAAGCGACTCGACCCTGCGCTATCCTCTGCTTTATATCCCTACTACTCCTTCCGAACTGACTTATCTGACTTCTCAGATACCGAAAATCATCTTCTAATTTTTCGTCTCCTAGCTTCATATTCGCTCTTTCCCTACTTTTTCTTCCCTTGGATACCAGAAAAATAATAATAATTTATTTACAATATTTGTTTAAGTGCACAAATCGGTTAATTAGCTTAGAGTATTGAATTTTGAACATTTTCGTAACTAATAGAAAAAAGATAAAATAAAAAACATCAAAGGTCACCATTAAGAGTAGATATTTGAATTACGATTACAAGGTTACGTCTGTTGATAAGTTTGTTAGTTTAAAGCGAAAAGCGATTTCTATCGCCCGACTTGTAATTGTGATTCCATGTTTTCCCATCATTATTATACCAATAATGATACCTTCGATGCAATTTTTGAAAAAAGCAAAGCATCCTATAGGTAGCAGCGCATTTTAAATGTGCAGGCTTCTCCGAAGGACATTCTTCACAAACAACCTTTCTCCTTCCGAGAATTTTCATTTATAAAATCGAACAAGAAACATCTGGGTAAAGGAAGGTCTTATTATACAGTGGTGCATGTGCCCTTCCGCTGCTAAGACTCGCCACCTTGGATTAAATAAGGACGGAATGATGTTAAAATCCAAGAAATACCGACCACCGTTCGTACGGAACAAACGGTCGTAGACAATTCGTGTCATTTCATTCCGACAAAATAAAGTAAGCGAATGTTAAACAGGCGCCGAAAATCTATTACCCATCGGGCATTGAACGATTTCGATACAATCCATGACTATTGTGGAGGTCCAACAACAGACTAATTCTAGACGATTTATCACACTTGACCAGTCGACAAGACCCGCTCCTTTTTCGCAATTTTTTCGAATGATTCACCCAGAAAGAAAAACAAATGAACGATTACTACTTTTAAAGGTTTATATTTTTAAATTAACTAAGGATGCTGCAAATTATAAGTACTGCATTCTAACAGGAAGATTATTTCACCCCTTATTTTTATTAAGAATAATCTTTAACTAATCATTTTGCATCGATAAACTATACTTATATTATTTATATACCCAACGTGCTACATCAAATGTTATTTATAGCATTAAAAACAATATTTCATGTCGTTCTTTCTGAAAATTATAGCTACTTCTTTTAGAGAATTATAAAAATAAAATTTTAGCATGCAACGGAAATTGAACGCGCACGCGCATCTGTTAAATTCAATCGACAACATTATTTAAATAAATTATTATTATTATACCGACTAAATAAATATGTAAATAGAATTACACATACACACTTCTATTTTTTCGGTCCTTATTCCGCCCCTGAAATTATATTGCGTAATTATCAAAGCAACTACTTTATTTGAATAAGTAGTCGTGTAGTAGGCGCGACAAGCAGACATCACAAGTGGCACTATTCAGTCAATAAACTAGAAAATCATTCAACAACAGACCATTTAGGGATAGTTTAAGCGGCGGGCAGCCACTTATTTTTATCTGTGATATATTATAATACGATGGTTGGTTTGGTATCAATCACGAATAATGGGGTTTTGTTTAGATTGACTTTTAAAATAGAGGGGAACGAGCCAGGTTAAATGACGCCACCACCACCGGTCCGTGGTGTGTTATATAATAGCGTGCATACAAATTTGGGGAGTGTTTATGTTAAATCGGAACATGGACCACCCTCGGTCCGTATAACATTTGCCATAATATACTGACGGTCTTATACACCGTGACACACCGGAGAAATGAAAAAAAAAACAGGCAAATGCGGAACAAATTTGGGCCCCAAATTATTAAGTCGGTAGGGTTTCATTTTTCTTCAATTGACAGTAAAAATAAACGATTTTAAGATCAGCCGAAAGCAGTGAGAGAGAAGCATATAAACTTTACTAGAAACCGTAGGAATTTTTTTACTAGCATGGTAATTTTTTTAAGATTTTTCTCTCCCTATAACAGAATTTCTTTTACAATTTTCTTCCCTAAAATCAGCTGGTGAAAACAAAGAGGATGCGTCATACGCAGGGGCGCAACAACGTTACAGTTTGAGTGGGTGCTAAATCAGTGACTAAAAAAAAAGGTCACCAATGTATTGAATTAAAATACTTGAAAAGATCGAGTTCGGCTGCTATTTGAACCGAACTTTCAAGTTAGGTTATTATTTGAATCGACTGGAATTGACTGGGTGCCCAACCCAATCGAGTAGGTGCCTGGGCACCCGTGCTCCCCCCTTGTTGCGCCCCTGGTCATACGTAATATAAATGTTAAATTAAGTATAGAAAAGCAAATATCAAACTACAGTCTACTGTCTCTAATTGTAGGCCGATATCACTCTAATGATAATTTGAATTTTCCTCAAACTCAAATTATTTCACAATGGCAGCAGTACTTTAATGTGGCTATCTATAAGTCGAGCTCTATGTAACTCGAACGGATTTTGTGACTTTTGAAGTCCCATTGCATGTGTATTAATTTTTGATAATATTTCAGAAAAGAATTGCAACAATTTGTAAACTCAAGAGTCACTTCAACGAATCGTTTTTTATTAGAAGATGGTAAATGGCTTTGGTAGATCTGAGTCCAGCTCTGGTTTTAAATTTGTTCTATGAATTCCTACAATCCATCCTTAACAACAATAAAACGAACCCCTTACACTTGTTAACTGTTTAAAATAGATAAAAGATAACAATACAAGTGAACCGAGAACAATTTTTAAACAAAAAAAAAAAACGGAATCCAAGTACCCCAGACATCTACTCAACTAAAACCACATATGTCATTCATAACTTCATACAATAAATAATAGTTTATAATATCCGTAAATGGAAAAAAATTCGAGTTATGTAGGTAAATATACCATATGTCAATATTTGATCGACTGTCGAGCATCACTCCCACTAAATATGAATATTTAGATGGGACAAATAAGAAATTACAACTAAATTTTCAATTTTCGAAATTCCATGAAAAAATTCTGAATCTTCAAGGACAGAAAAAATTCCCTGAGAATTACACGATTTCCAGATTTTCCAGGATCGC